CCCCAGTCCCTCAGATGAAGGAGCATAGATTTTGAAGGAAGATTTTTAGGGAGAATTTGAAGGGAGATTTTTTTAAAGGAGAAATTTGAAGGAAATTTCTAAGGAGGAATTTTAAGGAGGAATTTGAGGAGGAGCTTGGGGAAGTCTTTGGGGAGAACTTTCCTCTCTCCTTTCACCTCCTGAGCTGGGAATTTGTTTCCCAGTGGGAGTTAACCCTTCCTGTTCCCTCTCCTTCCACTTCCTGAGCTCAGAACCTGTTTCCCAGTGGGAATTCACCCCCTCCTGCCACCTCCTGAGCTGGGAATTTGTTTCCCAGTGGGAGTTAACCCTTCCTGTTCCCTCTCCTTCCACTTCCTGAGCTCAGAACCTGTTTCCCAGTGGGAATTCACCCCCTCCTGCCACCTCCTGAGCTGGGAATTTGTTTCCCAGTGGGAGTTAACCCTTCCTGTTCCCTCTCCTTCCACTTCCTGAGCTCAGAACCTGTTTCCCAGTGGGAATTCACCCCCTCCTGCCACCTCCTGAGCTGGGAATTTGTTTCCCAGTGGGAGTTAACCCTTCCTGTTCCCTCTCCTTCCACTTCCTGAGCTCAGAACCTGTTTCCCAGTGGGAATTCACCCCCTCCTGCCACCTCCTGAGCTGGGAATTTGTTTCCCAGTGGGAGTTAACCCTTCCTGTTCCCTCTCCTTCCACTTCCTGAGCTCAGAACCTGTTTCCCAGTGGGAATTCACCCCCTCCTGCCACCTCCTGAGCTGGGAATTTGTTTCCCAGTGGGAGTTAACCCTTCCTGTTCCCTCTCCTTCCACTTGCTGAGCTCAGAACCTGTTTTCCCGGTGGGAATTCACCCTCTCCTGCCACCTCCTGAGCTCAGACCCTGTTTTCCCAGTGGGAATTCACCCTCTCCTGCCCCCTCCCTTGCCGGGAGCGTGTCCCGGTGGGAATTAACCCTTTGTTCCCTCCGCAGTGTTAAGCATCCGCGGCATTCAGGAGGAGGAGCCGCCGGATGCTCAGCTGATGAGACTAGATAACATGCTGCTGGCTGAGGGAGTCTCGGGGCCCGAGAAAAGAGGCCGAGGAGGAGGAGGAGGAGGAGGAGGAGGAGGAGGAGTTGGACCGATGGCGGGAGCCGCGGCATCAGGGGGCTGTCCCAACCGATGGCGGGAGCAGCGGCATCAGGTGGCTGTCCCAATGACAATAGCATTGAGCACTCTGACTACAGGGCCAAGCTGTCCCAGATCCGACAGATTTACCACTCTGAGCTAGAGAAATATGAACAGGTGATCTTTCTGCATGGAAGAGTTTTTAATCCTCTCAATCCATATAATCCCTTCTTTCCCCCCACCCCCCTCCACCTTTTCGCTGGCGGGTCGAGGAAGGACAGGGCCAGGCTGGATCCAAGGGGCCTTGAAATTCCCTCGGAGAGGTGAAGAACCCGGAGGGACCTAGAGAACGTCACGACTCGTCTCGTTGGCCGCGCCGACGACGGCGTCTCACGAGTCGAGCCTGGAAGTTTCGGGGTCGGGGCTCGGAGATATCCAACCCGACCCCCTCGCCACGGGCAGGGACACCTCCCCAGAGGCCCAACCCGTTCAGGCCTCCCCCAGATTTCGTGGAGCTCCCCTGGAGCTGGTAGGCCGTGTGGGGAGGTGCGTGCTAGGTGTGGTGCTGGGTGGCCACAATCGCGCCGTGTTTTCAGGCCTGCAGCGAGTTCACCACCCACGTGATGAACCTGCTGCGCGAGCAGAGCCGCACGAGGCCCATCTCGCCCAAGGAGATCGAGCGCATGGTCGGCATCATCCACGGCAAGTTCAGCACCATCCAGATGCAGCTGAAGCAAAGCACCTGCGAGGCTGTCATGATCCTGCGCTCGCGCTTCCTCGACGCCAGGTGTGGGCACAGCGCGGGAGCCGTGCGGGATGAGGGCTGGGGTGGGCACTGGGTGGGCCTGGGGGGCTTTGAGTGGTCCCTTGTGGGGCACTGGATTGTTCTGGTTGGTCACGGTTGGTCACAGTTGGGCACAGTTGGTCACTGGGTGGTCCTGGGGGGCTTTGAGTGGTCCCTTGTGGGGCACTGGATTGTTCTGGTTGGTCACGGTTGGTCACAGTTGGGCACAGTTGGTCACTGGGTGGTCCTGGGGGGCTTTGAGTGGTCCCTTGTGGGGCACTGGATTGTTCTGGTTGGTCACGGTTGGTCACAGTTGGGCACAGTTGGTCACTGGGTGGTCCTGGGGGGCTTTGAGTGGTCCCTTGTGGGGCACTGGATTGTTCTGGTTGGTCACGGTTGGTCACAGTTGGGCACAGTTGGTCACTGGGTGGTCCTGGGGGGCTTTGAGTGGTCCCTTGTGGGGCACTGGATTGTTATGGTTGGTCATGGTTGGTCGCAGTTGGTCACTGGATTGTTCTGGTTG